TAACTTCTTTATACCTCTTCTGTGATGGTCCAGATTCTTAAATTCTGTTAGAACGCTTAAAATAAATGATACATAATAGTGGCCATAAGCATCCTCAAAATTTGTCATGACTTATTGAAGGGGTGCTGAAAACATAAAAAAGGGATTCCCCCTGGAATTTTGATGATAGGTCACAGGATAAGATTGAATTGCTAAATGTCATTTAAGCACAACTTTTATGTGAATGTTTGAATTCGTAAAAAAAAACCAAGACGACGGCTAACTGAAAGTGCTTGAAATGTAAATGTACTTTGCTCAAACATGATTTTTGACTTCTGACACCGACCATATAAAATACATTGTATGTGTGTCACATGCATGATATGTAATATTTAACCCAGACAGAAAAGTACTTCTATTTCTGGATAACAAGATCATACAAGGAACATTTATTTACACCAAAATTTATGAGTAATCATTTATTTACCAATTAATTGAATAGCATTTAATGATTAATCCATTAATTAAATGGCATTTAATAGTTATTTAATTAATGCCATTTCATGATTTTATTAATTACTCATTAATAAAATGTTGTTAGATGACACGACAGCTTAAGAACTTGTCAGTTTGAAGGGCTACATATTTTGCTGTTGGACTGGAGTCGGACATGACTACCAAGATCAAATTGCTTATCAATACATTTCCTTATTTGAAATTAATTAAAGGAGTCATTTTCCTCTGTACTGCCAAGTTTGTGATATTTAGTGTGTTTGGTGTTTTTAGAAATAACTGAGTTCTTAAATCAACAATAATTTATGTGTAAGTTTAAAGGGACAAACAAATTTACTAAATGTCTTTCAGTTCTTAATGGACACATCAGACTGAGTTTGAAATTTCCAATGTCATTTTATTGGCTATCAACTTTTACACGCTGTGGACAGTTTTGTTAACTGCCGTTACATTCAAATCATTGAAGTCTTAGAAGAAATTATCTGATTTGTTGGAAAGTCAGCTATTTTGGCGAGAATGGCATTAATATAGGTCAGATACTGAGAGATTAAAGGATATCCTAGACTGGTATTTTTGGTTTACAGACCACAGATCAGGTAATAAGTTTAGTGTACTACATATAGTTAAAGGAAAACATGTTTTTGCTGTGAAATTACAATTGTAACATGCTGTGTAAATTTGGAATGTCCCGTTATGTTTGTGGTATTTCCAGATTTGTTTCTCTTTGGAATTGGTTGTATTTATTGTAGACCTTGTTAATTTGATGACTACATATATAACATCCTGTTGTATGTGTATAAACTCTATTAGCAGGAGTAGCAGGTTTTATGTCTCTTGTCTCTTGCCAGTCTATACAGAGTAAGAGATTCTGTTTGTCCCGTCTAAGCTCTCATCATTTCCAAATCACATGTATATAATTTTAACCTATAAAAAAATGGTTTATCAAACTCTTCTACATGTGCATATAACTGTTTTTTATCCACTCGCTGCATTACGTTACCAGCCTATTGTTTCGGAATTTTCTGTACAATGTGAAGCCATCTTCTTTTTGAAACCATTGCGCTCAGTCACTGCTTACTTGTCAAGGTCACAAGCTACTCTGTAAGGCTGAGGTGTTGAGCCATTGTGACAGTGTACTTATAGGTCATGGTCCTATATCAAGACAATACATGAAGGTCATAATCTTACTTAGGTGTAATATGTGAACTGAAGGTCACAAACTTACTAAAGTGCAAGGTGAAGGTCACAGACGTAGGTGTATCATGAAAGTCCCACGCTTTACTGAGGTGTAGCTTGAAGGTCACAGACTTACGGAGGTGTAAGGTGAAGGTCACAGACTTATAAGTGTATCATGAAAGTCACCGGCTTACTGAGGTGTAGCTTGAAGGTCACAGACTTAAGGAGGTGTAAGGTGAAGGTCACAGACTTATAGGTGTATCATGAAAGTCACCGGCTTACTGAGGTGTAGCTTGAAGATCACAGAGTTTCAAAGGTGTAAGGTGAAGGTCACAGACTTACAGAAAGTGTAAGGTGAAGGTCAGTCTATCTGAGTTGTGATGTGAAAGCCGAGTTGTAGTATAGCCAGATCTAATGTTTGTCATTTTAACTGATTGTCTTTCAATAGATTGTTCTTTTATGTATTGTAAGGCATACATGTACTTTCATACCAAAAAGTCTTTAAATTCACTTGCTAAAATTTGTAGAACAATTTATGGAATTGGAACATTTTAGTAAACAGATAGTGTCATATATCAGGTCAAAGTGCATGTACTGAATAAGTGACCTTAATAACATGACCTTCACGAAGACGAATGACCTGCATAACAAATAGATGACCTTTTCAATGGCTACACCAATATGTTTTACAGGGGTTTGTGACGTTATGTATATATGTTGTAATATAACATTAATGGCTCTATCTCTCTCCTATATATGCTGCCTACAGTTTGGGCTTACTCCAAATACGCCGGCTAACACTGGTGAGCTTCCATTTCTATGTCACCAGTGTCGCCAGTTTCTTTTTATTGGCATGATTGATTTAGTGTTGTGCTCTTTCTATTTTTGTGGGTTAAATAAATAAGTTGTGTGAAGCATATTTTTTTAATGTTTCATAGGAAACAACTGGCCACTTTTATAGGCTTCTGTAATTTGACACATTCTCTATTTGTCTGACTTGGTTAGTGATTGTCATACTAAGTTGATACATCATTCCCTTTCTCCTGCATGCTCTACTACATTTCATTACACACTTTACAGTACGAACTGGACATTTTTAGCAAAATATTTCAATTTAGGGTTTAGGAAATGGCAGTGTCCGTTACTCCTATCTGCTCTGTCTTGCTCTACCTTTCGTACTGTATTTATAATTTGACATGGATACTCCAGTCATTGTCACTACAAGTGTACCTCATTTAAAACTTCCTTTATGTGAAGATGACTTCCTGTAAAGAATTCCTCATCCACAATTCCGACAATACATAGTAAACCCAGTACAAGGAAGTCCTCATCACTGACTACTGGTACAGTGTTAACTACTCGGTGTGTATTAATATTGTTTCCACCCTATTGTGATAGATGCACTTTAGTCATTTATTATATTTGATAATTAGTATAAAGTGAGCATGCTCTTTGATAAAAATATGTTTAATGTTTTTGATAATTATACTATATTATAAGGTTAGTTTAAATGGATTTTGAGCATGATTACCAAGATTTTTCAAAAACATGTGTATATTAATTGATGTAAGCATTATAGTCTAAATGATATTGACTTGTTGCCTTGTTTAAGTTATATGACCTTGTCCTTGTGACCAAGCTTTAATGATTTGACCTTGCGACCAAGCTTCAATGATGTGACCTTGTGACCAAGCTTTAATGATGTGACCTTGTGACAAAGCTTTAATGGTGTGTCCTTGTGACCAAGCTTTAATGATGTGTCCTTGTGACCAAGCTTGAATGATTTGACCTTGTGACCAAGCTTAAATGTTTTGACCTTGTGACCAAGCTTTAATGATGTGACCTTGTGACAAAGCTTTAATTATGTGTCCTTGTGACCAAGCTTTAATGATGTGTCCTTGTGACCAAGCTTTAATGATTTGACCTTGTGACCAAGCTTAAATGTTTTGACCTTGTGACTAAGCTTTAGTATAATGACCTTGTTATGATGATACATGTATCACAGTGCTTTTATAATGTCTATATTAAGGATTATACCTTGTGACCTTGTTTAATGATTTGACCTTAACTTGATTAAACAATATGACCTTGTTTTAAGGATGTCATATTGTTTTAATGTCACTTTAATGTGACCCTGATTGAAAGATGTGACTGACTTTGTATCCTGATTTTGTTATGATCCTTTTAAGACTTGCTATGCTATAGTTACGGATCATAACATGTAGGAGTTTAAACAAATATCCAATCTGTTTGGATACAAAGTTGTATAATAATCTAATATAGAACTGATTGACAGGAAATTATATGAAAATAAGTTTCTTTGTGCATGTAGTTTGATTGCACAAAATTAAAGTTTCAACTTTGAAGAAGTCACTGCATGTCTAGGATTTAGATTAGTATCTTATCTTACTTCTGTTAAAATATGAATAATGTACATGAATTATAATCCCCTTTAATTAACTGAACTACTAATTACCACCCTTGCACTAACTGTAACCCCTAATATACTCACTGCCCCAGTTACTAGGATATTGAACCATGAACCACTTCCATGAAGATTTATAGGTCATAGAATTCATTTCATATTTGAAATGTGAAATAGGTTTGAATTTTTCTTCATTTTAGCATCTGTATATATAATGTGATTTCATTTAACCCTTAGAAAAAAAAAATTAAGTAAAAATGTAAGTCTTTGAAATAAGGTTTTTTTTCAAGTTTTTATATGATAACTACTTTCTTATATTTTTCGTCACTGCTGACAGAACGGTTAAAAGTGATATACATGTATTTAAAACCTGTTCAATGTGATATACATGTATTTAAAACCTGTTCAATAACATTCATTTACAATTTCCACTGTAAAATCTATTTATTATACAAAGACATTTAATGTTAAAATCATTCAATTAAATTTTAAACCAATTTAATTGGGTCCTGATCATAGTTGTCATATATAATGGTTGGCTGTGTTGAGATGAGTCAACAGGTCACACTTTATTGACATTGCCCTCTTGGGGACTCCTCACTGAATAAAGTAGGTATATTATATTTCTGTTACTTTATCATAGGGTACCATGGGAACTATTTCATAGTAAGTTCAACATTTTTATGATGTACTGATGAATATTTTCATTTGGAGAAGAGTGTACACAGTCAACTGTCTTTGAAGTTGTTTTATCATTGCAATGATAACTAATTTGAATGTCTTAATTAGTTGTATAAAAAAATTGGTTAGTCCCCAAAAAATCAACCGTAATATAGCAGATCTGGTGTTACTTAACCTGTTTCGTGTTAAATAAGGCAACATTTAATTTGCTTGTTTTCTGTTACAGTTTGGGTGGCGACAAGTCAAGGAAGCAGTTCACCAACGCCCACTCCTAAACCTTGATCTTCTGGACTGCAGACCTCTGGTGTAAACACTATAAACATAATCTCTCTCACTGGTCAGTGGATTATTGCTGACCAGTATCTTCTTTACTCTCCATCAGAACAATGGGAACACTTTTCCTTTTTCCTATGTATTGAAGATTTGTGTCATTTACACATGTGTGTTTGACATGTCAACCTGTTATTGTTGAAAAAATATTTTTAATGTGGTTCCTTAACATCCCTCAGGGACATCTGTCATTAACAAAAATATTGTAATTGACACGTTTCTTTGGTATGTTTGTTGGTTACATCTATGTCATCAACATGTTTGGTGTTACATCTATGTCATTGACATGTTTGGTGTTACATTTGTCTCATCTGTGTCATTGACATGTTTGATGTTACATTTGTCTTATCTGTGTCATTGACATGTTTGATGTTACATTTGTCACATCTGTGTCATAGACATGTTTGATGTTACATTTGTCTCATCTGTGTCATTGACATGTTTGGTGTTACATCTATGTCATTGACATGTTTGGTGTTACATTTGTCTCATCATTGACATGTTTGATGTTACATTTGTCACATCTGTGTCATTGACATGTTTGGTGTTGCATCTGTGTCACTGACATGTTTGGTGTTGCATCTGTCTTTAACATGTTTGGTGTTAAATCTTTGTCATAGACATATGTTTTGTGTAAATCTGCATCATTTACATGTTTATTGTAACATCAATGTCACTGACATGTTTGCTGTCACTCTGTATCAAGTTATCTAGAAAGGGCTAGGAGTGTTTCTATTGATCTTGACATGAACTTTAGTGTTTACAAATATTAATCTAAAATAGTGTAGTTAAGGAGGAAATTTGATATGTGCTGCCCTCTTCTGTAGGGTGCAGTATGTAGTAAGAGAAATACTCTGCTAGCAGTAAGGGGAGACAACTAGATAGATGCCACAGATGTTGGGTGTACGGTGTAGAGAGAGAAGTAGTACATTACATTTCAGTCATATTTATTGTTATACTGTATATATTATCATACCATTGGATGAGGAAGATCCTGAAAGCACTGTTGTTGTGGTAGTACATGTGCTCATTGATAATAGTTTTTCAGGCACTGACATTAAAAACACTGCTTAGTGTAGTTCTTTCCTGACTTCCTTTGCAACTTAAGTTTTGAATTAAGGTTTACTTCAATGATAAAGTATGAATCTAGCTGATTATAACTGCAGTCTAGTTTGTTGCATTTAGTTTACAAGTTTGATAGTTTTGATTAAATTGAAAAAAGAGAAATTTGGTGGAAGTTGTAGTGAAACTGAGGTGATCTTCTCAAAATTAGTTTGTGTATACTGTCATACTGTCATACTGTCATACAATGTATTGGTAAAGTGAAACGGGATGATAAATTTGCCGTGAGATAGATTATCTGTTAATGTTACAGAATCTATACTTCTCTTCAAACGTTATATCATGATTAACAACTTCCTTCAGTCACAGGTGTTTATATATATATGGAGCCTGTGCGTTACGGTTGTGATGTTACCTATAGGTCAAAGGTCATGTCAAAGCTTTTAAATCCTATGATTTATAACAGAATCATAATAAGTAGTTAAATAAACATACGCAAATGTTGATGTTTTAAGATTTCATTGTTGTGTGTTTTTTCTTATTTAGTTGTAAACAGAATCTCCATCATGCTGTGTAGTCCACCTATACCATATCATTATCAAACTTGACAAGTTCGGCAAGGTTCCAGGCCATTCTGAGGTGACCTTGGGATATTGTACTTGATTTTGCTCATTCTAACATGTACCACGGTAACAAGCTTAATCATTCATTCCATCCATGCTATATTATGGGCAAAAATTGACAATAAAGTAGTCAGAATTGATTTAACATTACTAAGTAAAAATCAGGAATTAACAGTTTTAGGAATGTAAGGGGCCTCTGGTTTGACTATTGCATATATAGTCTTGTCTGGAGTTGATGTGTAAAACATGTTCAAGAAAACTTTCTTACAATACTTCCAGCTGCCGTTGATTGTCCTTTATTTAGACATTTGTCTGCGAGAATGTCCCTCACTAAGATATATAGTTAATAGGATCACAAACACGATTTATGAATACAAAATGGTTTTCTCTGAGAGGACCCATTGCTTTAGTCCCTTTGTGTCTTCTGTGTTTATGTGTGTCTACCTAGGTTTTGCATCCATTTCTCCTGTGGATAATTCATATTGTATTAGAGGCAATTGTTAGGTAGAGAGTTGTCTCCCTTCAATGTATAAATATATATTTATTCAATACACAAATTGTCCAAAACTATGGAATAGACATTGTATAAAAATAGACTGAACAAGTGTTGGAAACAAATGATACTTAGTTGTGTATAATATTATTTAACTCATTCACCCCTGATGACACATTTGAACTCTTCCAACTCAAAGGTTAGAATAGTTCATTATGAAATTTCAGGGGTGAATGAGTAAACAGGTGTTGGCGAGATCCTACCTTTAATGGTAGTAAGTGCTACTTTATGAAATGAGAAAAGAAGTTTAAATCATTGTTGTGATATGTTCTGAGAAGTTTGCTACACTTGGCTTTAAGTTAAAGATATTTTCATGGAACTATTGGGGTGACACAAAAAAAAACTTCCGTTTTCACCAGTGGACAGCGGGATGCTGTAGAGGTTGTCTCTTGATCATCAAGCAATAACAGAGTGAAATCCTATACTGTAAGCTATCAGCTAGAAAGTCTGAAGCATTAAAATGTAAAGATACATTCCTCATTGGTAGCCAAGTGTAGTTGAATCTTGACAGGTGTCATCTTGACAGGTGTCATCTTGACGTCTTGAGAAAGAGGTGTAGTTATATTTGACAGATGATGTCCTGACATAAAAGTGCATACACAGAAATATAGCATTCCAGACATTATGTTACATATTGGTTTAGTTAGTTTATCAATTCATTGTTCTCCATCACATTGTGTCTAACGTCGGATATGTACATGAAGTAACCTCAAACAACTAAACTTTGTCTTTGCTGATTGTGATTACAAGGGTGGGTTTCTTTTGAATACATAATGTATATGTTACTGAAGGTTTTGAACACAAGTGAATTTGCTGTCAAAGGAAAGCAGCTGTAGGATTTATCATTGTCCAGATAATTAGCCTGTGACTGTCCAGTTGCTCAAACATTCCTTGGCTTAAGGTTGAGTAAACTTTCCTTGTGGATGTGTTTAAGTTATAATAAATCTATAACAATTTCCCAAATATATGACATTATCAGGTACTAGGTACTGTAAAAGTGGACATTTGGTTAGTAAATTTTCATAATGACACACCAAGAAATCTGCATAACAGTAGCATTGTCAATGCAAACATGTTTACACCAGGAAAAGCTTGCGGACCTCCCACATGGGATCCTCTCTTCCCCACCCACCCCCAAAAATATCTACTTTCACAGTACATCTTGGATGTAATGTGCCATATTTGGTAAGCTGGTGATAGAGGTTTATAAGGTCAAAGGTCATCCTATCTGTAGAAAATGTCTAAAAATGTTTCTATGCATTCCATCTTTTAGTATAGTTTGAAACGGAATATTTCAATAAAACTTAATTTTATTAATTTCATTACGGACCAAAACGCTTACAAGTCACCAAAACAGTTTCTCTAGCGATACAAAAGTGACCTATAAAAATATCAAAACTTAAAGCCGACAACTTCACCTTAATGCTGTGTATTCTGAGCCATTGTGCAATACTAAATCTGCATGTATGATTAATTGTGTATGTTCAATGAGATGCAGTGATATTCTCTGAAATATTGCTGCTGGAGTGACACTGACCGATCTTTATTTTGTAGTAGCTTGCTCCCATAATGCAAATTGTTTCAAATTCATTTTTGTTTTTAAAATTTGTTAATAATTATCAACACATATGTGTGTACATAATATATTATTTAGTTATATATATATATATATAAGAATCTTGTTGATGCGTTTGATGTAAAGTATGTGTTAAGTTGTTGTGAGTTAGCGATCATATAATGTGTAACGAATCTTAGGCCACTGTAAATCGGGAGAGAGCGCACTAGTAAATTGTTTATGTGCCCTTTATTTGGTCATTTCAAATTCATGGGTTATCAGACGAGATTATTTGGGAAAATATCAGTCTTTCTGCAGGCTTGTTACCCTGTCAAGTCTCATAAGTCTAAAATCCCTGATAAAAATCATCAAAAAAATGGTTGATAAAACTGAACAGATCCGTTGTAGGTGTTTGTTTGAACTGCGAAAAGGTCACAAGTTTGGTGTTGTTGATTTAAAATCCAAAAGTGAGAAAATATGATATCTTTAAAGAAATCTGTAAACAAACTTGAGATATCCATAAGTTATCTATTAGAAAATTATATATATATATATGTATATGGAACTTGACCAAAAGGGAATTTTGTAAATGTGTGTAAAGAAATTGCCGAATTCTGATCGGTGTATGTTTACACTCGACCAACATGTGATGTATGCGACATACAGTGTGGGTACTTGTATAATACTATTATCTTGTATATTTTATTTATGTGATCTTTAATATGCCTGATACATGTTTGCTGAAAATTCACAAATTCAAGAACCGTTGACATTTGAGCAATGTTCATGTTGACAAATCACAAGATTCAAATGAGAATAAATCCAGCTAAAGAATGAACTATTCTAGGTTAGCCGATAAGATATAATTTACATTACAATGTAATAGAATGTCTGCACTTGTATATTGTGAATTTTCTGCCAGTAACTGGGCCCACTGAGGCTGCATAGTGTAAAAGGTAATGTTTTGTGTGTTATGGTTCCGTTTAGGTCTTGTGATTCCAACTGTTATTGTATTAGTATTCACCAACATGTTTCCACCGTTTCTGTAACGGATCTGAGGAAATAAATGCATCTGTGTACATAGCTTATTTTGGATTGATGTTTTTTTTCCATTAATCTATACAGTTAAACATGTTTGTTGTGGAATGCTTCTTATAATGTAATTTTTTCCCCCTTTTCATATAAAGGGACACCTTAATGGATTATGTCTTTACTTAACATAAATTAGTTTCTAATGTCCACTAGGTTTCACTTTAAATGATTTCACTGTTTGACTGTTTCACTCCCGAAGGACATATCACTAGGGGATGGGTAATCTGATTTGCGAAGGATAAGGGGCTGTCGTTAAGGGGCTTTGAAAACGCAAAATGTTTGGCCATGTAACAAATCAAAAGTTGGATTATATTATTTTGATATTTGTTAAGTGGCACATGTAAACAAAGTCTTCCATAAACAGGGGACTCTGTAACACTGCAATATTTGTATCTTAAAACACTGAACATTTTCCTGAAGAACAGGAAGGCCCAGAGTAACGGACTTGACCTGCTTGCATGGAGTGCTACAAATTCTGCAAAATGAAGTGACAATGTCTCAATGTCACAAGGGTCAACACTTTAAACAACTTCTGAGTAACAGACAGACTTTGAGCTATAATATTTAGCCATGAACTTGCTGGCATGGATCAGTGCGTCAAAGTTTGTGAAAAATGATCTTAACTTATAATATTAGGTCATGGGTTCAAATTTGTTAAAATTTATTCTGAAGAATAGAAATATCAAGTCGTGATATTTGGCCAGTAACTTGCTGGCCTAGATTGCTTCAAATTTTCAAAAAAGAACAGTCAGACTTATATTCAAGGTCACAGGTTTGTTAAAACAGTTTCTACCCTGAGACATGATACTTGGACAGCGACTTGCTGGCCTAGTTTGCTACATTATTTGTGAAAAGAAATAACTTATTTAAGGTCACAGGGGTTAAATTTGTAAAAACTTAAAAAAAAAAAAAACCACTTCAACTAACAAGAGATCCCAGAGGGATCTTGGCACCCACCTTTGTACCATCTTCATTAGTTCTTTGTCAGTTCGATCTTTTCTCTTCTTTCCTCTAATCTGTTTGATCGAGTCATGTTAACAGTAAATGCACCTTGAGGTAACTTTTGATCTAAACTTAATACTGATGTGTATGAAAGCCAACCTTCAAAGTGAGTTTGTCATTTCACATATTTACTAGTACAGTACTTAATGTGAAAGAAATAGAATCGATCATTGCAATATGAGAAAGATCTGTTTAGTTCTTCTTTTAATCCATTTTGTTTTTATGATCAGTCTCAAAATATAACAT